TTCAAGATTAAATCAACGGCTTCAAAAGGTTTTCGGCAATGTACTGGACCTGCTCAATTTTAGTAGCTGTGTGGTTAATTGTTTTATTGGGTCATGCGTTGTTTCATCGAATAAGCCGACTAAATCATTTCCACTGATCTTAATATAATTCAAATAATCTATAATTTTCAACACTCGGTTTGAGTTAAAGGTTGTTTTACTTTCGGCGAATTGGAAAGTATCAACTAAATAATTTAGGCAAATTTGGAGACGATGCAGTGATTTCTCGAAGAGAAAACCTTAACACGTTGACGACAGCGTGACGCGGTAACGCGTCCCACTTTGCGCACCTCGTGGGACATTGTGACGCGGTAACGCGTCCCACCCAAGTCATCCCTTTTTCTTGCGCTTGCGCGACTTATTCCTAAGGTCTTTGTACTCATTCTATAGGCCATACATTAGCATACTTAAAAACCACATGGCTCACAGAAAGGCCAAATATTCTTTAGTTTGGCAGAGGTTTTCCAGACCTTACGGATATGTCTGTTCAGTTCATTCCTCGTTTTCTTTTCATTAACGTAACATGTTGATAAAAAGGAATAATAGAAGCGAATACAAACCTATTCGTATGGGAAGATATGTGTTTTTACTCACGTCCAAATTAATTTTGGAACCACTAAAGGGAAAGTAAGTAAAATTTGCCTTTTCATGGCCTTAACACGTCATTTCGGTCGAACTTCCATTACTGTAACTCCCGATAAGTTAGACAGATCGAACATTATTGAAAACACTTCATCGCATCTAAGTATTGCGTATTTACAGCTCAAAATCCATGGATTTGGTGTGCGGCGGCGGCGCTCGCAAAATCGCTCTGGTCCCACGCGGTGCAAAAACCCAAAACGCGCGATGTCGTCAACGTGTTAAAGAACCGCTCGTCAATTTATTTTTGGCCGCTACTGTATCTGAAATGACTTATTAAAATCTGTTACCTTTTTGATAGGAATATTTGGCCCTGCATCTGCCCTATTCGACTTACATTCACTCACATTCATTTCAGACTCACTGATCTCGGACTTGTCGTCGGTTTCGCATCGAAAACCCGACTATGCTCGTCGCTGCATTCTGGTGCTCCTCATTCATGCCGTCTTCATACTCGCCGTCTTTCTTGCCTTCCTTATCGGGCATTGGCTGTCAGAGCAAAACGCGACTCCGAATACGACATCAAACGAGGTATGGAATCGCTCCACCTTTGCCTTTTGTAACGATCCTTTTGAGTTCAACTCCTGTTTTAAGTTAATCTACATCATAACCTCTCCGCCTTCCACTACTAACCAACCGTATCAAGCTGATGACACGGTTACTCTACTGACAACATCGAAACGTCCAGCACTAACCCACTTACCGTTAACCACCTTAGCGCGCCACACGCTCGCCTGATTCCGGTGAGTTCAGAGATCGTGCACAAACGGGGTGAAAAGGTGCACAATTGCCTTCACTTGGCACCCACACGGAAGCAATGCTGAACTCTCAGTTGCTAATCTTTTGAATTCAGCTTCAACCGCGACGAAATTTCACTCTAATGGACGTTCAACCGCCCGCCTACGAGTCCTATGAGTTCATGGAAGAATTACATGCGCGTCAAGGGAAAAGCAAGGAGGACGTGATCCTTGGTGCCTTTGCCCACACACACTCTACCTCTCCATTATGATCTCCACGTAAGATTTTGAACTTATATTTTTTAGCTTTGCTCTCCATCATGAGATAAGGCCTTGATGATTTCAGTTGGATATGACCAAATTTGATCAGAAGATGATACGTGGGAGTCTGACGGTGCACCTGGAATCATTCGGGAACTCCACTGACGATGAAATTCTTTTCCATGTCGGTCCTCGAGTGAATATCGAACGAATCCGCCTCAGAAAAGAAGGTGTAATTATGAGTATCAATAGCTCGAAAGTCGTTATTTCAAATATCCAAATTTTAGGAAAAAGGGTCTATCCCAAAAACTTTGAGAAGAGAAGATCAAAAGAAGTTGGCGCGAATCGTTCTCAAAGAACGACTGAAAAGGGGAAGGTAGGTAGATCCTTGATTCTCACAGATCACTGCAAAAGATTCGGCATGTTTTTAGGTACTTATTAGAGATTGAGTACAATATAACCATCTGTGATCAGGAAGGAGGTGTGCACTGCTACTATGAAATGGACTCTGTACGTGATAGCTTCACTTCACGATTTATTGTTGTTGTTGTTTCCCAGGTCTCATACTTTTTGAATTTTAGGCGAACACTTCGGCGGTGGTGTCGTTCACGACGAAGTTTGAGCCAACAATGGCAAGATCGTTTGTGCCCTGTTGGGATGACCCTGGGATCAAGGTACATAATTTGACGGATTTTTACAAGCGCATTCTGCGATTAGACCTCCTTATGTCCTGAACCATATCCCGAAATTTTGATAAATGACGATGAAACATTGAGCAATGCCATAGATGAACTATGGCTTGAAAACGAAGCTGACTTACCATGGAAAGGATTAGGAATAGAAGAGTATCTTATCCAAAAATCACTGGCTTGAGACCCATCATTCACGATAAGAAAGAAAGGAACAAAAAATTGCGTTCGTTTTGGTAAACAATTCGAAAAACCGGAAGGACTGCACGCGTTCAACTCCCGCCGTACATCTGTCACAAATGTTGGCGACGGGAACAATTTCACTTGGTTTCCGAAGTGCCGCTACTAGAAACTCTTTTGGCCTTTCCCACTGCAATAATAACATTTCCCTTTGCTTCGATCGTTTTGTCTTCATTCTCCGAATTCGAACGCTTTAAACTTTCAATGCGTTGCCTTTTACGTAGTCGCCCGAAGGCGCGTCTCCTTCCTGCGCTCCGATGTCTCCTCCCGATCTACCCGCGACTGTCCCCTGAGTGTGGTTTTCGCAGCTTGTTTCTCTTTGGAAACTGAATCTTCTTGCGTGAAACTTACGTTAAACGTTGTGATCTCTAAGTGCTCTCTTCATAGAACCTCGGCATCGTTGTGTATTCAGTATTTTTTC